AAATACAATGTTATTTATATTATATTATTATTTGTTATTGCGAGCTAGTGAGGACTGAGGAGCATTACACAGACGACGAGTGAAAATAGAGTTTCGAAAATATTTTATTCGTTTTTTTTGCGAGAAGTTCAATCGACGCTGACGCCAATGACAACGAGCGCGTAGTATTAGCATTAAATATTTTATACCATTTTTCTCGACATTTCCGTGTCGCTGTCGTATTGTCACGACGACATGCAATTTATAAAATCTGTTGGATTTTTATTATTTATTTTTTTTTTTTTTGTAAAAATTTCATTACACGCACACATGTCAGCCGGTGTGTATTGTGTTTTTAGTATTATATTGTATATAATATTATATACGAACGGGATTGAGCGGTCGTCCTAGGTAATATAATAATAATAATAATAACAACACGACGCGTATATTATTACGAGGCGAATTCCGGGATATGTATAAAATATAACGCATACCTGCCTACACGCTAGCTTATCCGTGTGTGAATATAATATTATTCGAGAAAGTCACATCTGATGCGCAGTTCGACAGACCCGACACGCATACAATATTAATATTATCACCATGTACTCCTATATTATTTATATCATAATTATTATAATTATTTTTTGTCGTTGTTTTTATATTACATGCTAAAGATAATATGGATACGACTGATACGAGATTTTACGATCAGAATCAGATATTCGCATCATGTGAACTGTGGACTGGTCTGTCTGGCGGCACTAAAACAATTTAATGTTATGGGTTCAAAACAAAATACAATAATATAATAATAAATATTGTATATACATCATTCAGACAAATATCCCAATCCCGTAAAGTGCGCGTACATCGATACATTTCACGACGAAAACAAAAATGGACGGTCGTTACGGAGTTGAGCCAATTCACGTGACCCATTTCGACGTAAAAAATTATTATTATTTACTGCGGGAAAAAAACTGCATCTGTTCAGTGTGTATAAATTAAAAGCCGTCACCATATAATTATTATATTGTGTCGGGACAACCGAGCGACCTACACAGATCTTGAATTGCTTGGATACTTTATGTATAATATAATAATWTACGCGTATTATATTATTATGGTATCTATTATAATAGTCAAGAGTATACCTGTAGTTAATATAATATAATATAATATGCTACGGTTTATACAAATCACAAGAATCAGACGTGCACAAATTGATTGAAACACTGTATGAAATATATATGTATACTAATATACGTAGGGCTTTTAAATATTATCTATTAACATAATACTCATAACTCATAAGCATTGCGAAATATGGATGCACAAATGAGCCGTAGTTTTCTGATATCTATCATCTATATTATATCCATCTTAAATTAGCATGTACATTTTAATACAAATCAATATATTATCATAATATTTAATACGAAAATGCATTTATTATGTTGCAATCAT